ACAGGGCCCCGGACCTGCGACCCCGCGGGCCGCGGGCCGTCCGCCCTTTTCCCACCACGATGGCGCAAATTCTCCGGTTGATCAATCAGCCGGCGCTGCGTGGGGAGCCGTACGCGGAACCCGCCAAGCCGTGCGGGCAGAATAAGGAGCGGCAGACGGAGCGTCCTCCAGCAGCTGGGGGTCGTACGAACCGTTAACCATCAAGGTATTAAAACTTCTTAAGCCCTCCGTATCAATGACTCCACTGCTGGATAAAAGCGAATTCAGCGTTCCAGCGAGCACGTGGAGAGAAGCACTGAACAATGAGATTTCCCGATGGGTTCTCCGTCACGCGACACGGCGCCGACGGCGCAAGCGGGATTTTACCGAGCGGGGAAATGGACCGCAGCTTGTGCTCAACTGTCATGACCCCCTGATTCACTCTCCTCCCCTGGCTTTGAGAGGGCAGCCTGCAGCGCTCGTAGACACACAGCCCCAAGTGAGTGATAGAAACTCAACGCAGTCGTCGATAACACTACAACGTACGTGGGCTTAAAAGGAAAAATATTTTTTCTGAAATGGGCAACGTTTTCGGTAATGGTCCTTCTTGAGAGCAGGTAAATAGAGGCCGAAGAGGTAGCAGTCAGTCGGCACAACACCCACTCCCCTCCACTGCCTCCACTCCCTCCACTCTCTCCCCTCCCTCCCCCGACATCACCAACACAAGGGCAAACTCCAAAGGTTCCAACGTCTGAGCTGCATCTCCCCCCCTCCCCACTCCCAACCCCTTATCAGTGCAGTCAGAAGCAAACACAAACCTACCGTCACACACATACACACAACAGAGGCAAAGATGCAGCGTGTAGGCCTCAGCAGACTGTTGCGACAAGCACTGTTAGCGAGCACCCACGAAGGCCGGCACGACGGCGCACGAGAGCGGGTGGGTGGCCGGCACCACGTCCCACCGCCTTTGTCTCCCCAGTGGCGATGTTTACACACTGCGCCAGGTACTCATTTGAGGCTGGGTCTACCTAGGCAAGGCCCAGGACCGGTTCAGATAATCATCACCGGTGTTGGCCGTGAGCGGGTATCGAACTCGGGTCGCCGGTTTTTTACAGCGCAGCGGCGCTAACCGTCGCACTACCGCTCCCCGCACGTGCACACACAAACACGCACACACAAACATGCACGCACACACAAACAAGCACGCACACACAAACAAGCACGCGCGCCACGTTCACACGATGGGAGTGTGAGATTAGCAGCCGGTGGTTGCTTTAGGCTTTTGCAGAAAACTGCGAAAAATTCCATTACACCTGCCTCTTCCCCCCCCCTCCTTCCCCTCCTCTTGCACGCCGAGACGCAGATCTCCTGCTCCGGCTGCTGGCCCACGCGCCGCTCGCTCCGGGGCTCACGGTCCACGCTCACTCTCGCCGGCCGCCGCCGGCATCGCGGTCCACGCCGGCATCGCGGTCCACGCTCGCTCTCGCCGGCTACCACCGGCATCACCGATAGATTTGTTTTTTGGTTGGTTTCGGCGTTGAGCGATGCGAGCAATTCAACAGGGAACCGCGCCTGGCGTCGGCACGCTTCTGGAAGCCGAGCCCGGTTTTGAGCCTGGGTAAAAGTGCTCCGGACGGGTGACCGATGCGCACGACTCGGGTGCTATAGGCTCGCCGCGGCGCTACGTTGCCAACAGGGAACGGCGCAGTAACTGTCCGCGCGTTGTACTGCACTCCCGCTCATCGACGCCTACCTACGCTCCCCCCCGGCCTTCAACAACCCAGCGCGGTGATGCAGCAGGCTCAGATATCACCATGAGGGGGCCCTCATCCAGCAGCGGAGCAACAAGTGCCGCAACAGCACAAACCAAGTAAAACAAAACACCAACCCTTGCCCTAAGGGTCAGGCTTTTACTTGGGTGGCGAGCGATGAACTGACACCAAACACGCGTGTCTGTGTGTGTCTGTGCAGGTCTGCGTGTGTCTGTAGGTGTGCGTGTCCGTTTCTGTTCGTGCGTGCGCACGGTGAAATCCGCCGGAGTTACACAGCTGTGGCGGTCGGCGCAGCATGCAGCTCGCACGATAAAGCAGCCGCTGTTTAAATTGCCGCGGCGGGAGACCGAACAGCCAAACCTGGCGCCCGCAGGCACCGCGGCACGCGCAATCATCGGTCCGCACGCCGGGCGGCGAGGGGTGCACGGGGGAGGTGGGGGGCAGCGGGAAAGAGGGAGGGGAAGGGGGGAGGGAGAGGGGTCTCCTACCCCCCCCCACCCCCCAAAACCCCCGCAACGTCTGTCGATCGGCGAGCCCCGGGAACTGAACCGGGTCACGGTGCGGTGGGGTGGGGGGGGCGAAACGTCCGGAGGTCGTGCCGAACAACGTGCACCATCAGGGAGAGCTGCACAGCAGCGCGAGCACGACAACCCACGCGGTTGGTTTTATGTTTTTCCCGGTGCGAGAGGAGAAATGGGGGGGGGGGGTCCCCTATCTCCTCCTACCACCGCCGCCACCGCCACGCGGGGAGATTATAGACGCGCGGCGCCACTTCCTGCACCGATAGCGACACGGCGACTCTCTGGATAATAAAAGTCTCTCGGAGAGAAAGCCGCGCGGTCGCAGAGCGGCCCTCCCCCTTCCCGTAGTCTCGAGCGCGTGACCCCGCTCGGCGGCCCCGACCCCGCCGGCTGGGGAAATTCCGCGTTCTCATGGTGGGAGTCGGTCTCTCCTCAACCAAGCAGCGCATCCATGGCATCCTCCTCCATCATTCGAAGGCGGGCGAGAGCTCGTTGAGGAACGCGTGGACCAGAGAACGAACGTGGGTCGGACTCGTCGCGCCGAGAGAAGCAGCGCTCGCAAGAGACGGAGCGGCGAAACCGGCTCATGCGCAGGAGCGAGACGGATCATCGCGAGGCCGTGCGAGACGACGACCGCTTCGTGGGAGGTGTTCATCCAGCAGCGAATAGGTCCCGGCCGATGACGATGATGGCAACGATGACGATGATGGCAACGATGACGATAATGGCGACGGCGGAAGCCGGTTCACAAACAGCGGGACAATTTTGTTTTTATCAACAGCTGCTGAATATCCGGGCTGGCAAGGCAGAGCAGCCGGTACAAATCTGAAAGGGCATAAAAATAATAAAGTTGACGTTTCGCGTGAGCCAGGTGGGAACGCCAGAGGCCAGGATAGAGCCTCGGTTGCAAGAGTGACCCAGGTCACCACAATGATTCATGGCAAGAGCACGGAAAGTACGGAGGCAAACTATGAAGCCATTCTTAAAATAAATAAAAACCCACATTAATATAAAATAACAACGTAATAACACATCACGTTTTTACAAAGGAATTTAAACTCGGGCGGAAAATGTTGTAAACGAGCTGTGAGATTCAAAAAGCACTCCAAAATTTTCCAAATGCCCATAAAACTCTGGCTCGGGCTTTAAACCCCACGGGCAAAAACGCGACAGTGCTCGGCGTACCACGGCCGTCGCGCCCACGAGCCGCTGTACGATGACGGTGGCAAAGACGAAATCGTCATCGCCGTGGCGACGGAGCAGTGAAATTCCGCTCGTGGCGCGGGTGCCGCACGGACCGCGACATCGCGGGGCGGTGAGAGAGGCAGCAAAGCGTGCTCCGGGTTGTCCTTCGTCCGGCAGTGGATCGGTCACGGCCGGCGATGGCTGAAAATGATGAGGAATGAATGAAGCTTCTGAATTGTATAGCCCAAAGAACACACGTGGCTTCCGGGTGTAGCCACAAGATAACGGCCGTTTGTTTGATTATGATAATGACAATGACGAAGGCAATAACGTCATTAATAAGTCTGAGTAAGTCCGAACGCTTGTTATCGGGCGCTCGGATGAGTCAAGCCCATCGCGAATGCGCACGAGGGTCAGGGCTGGGAGCGCGGCACACTGCTGACCGACCGACGGCGAATGGGCGAGGAAAATCACACCGGGCCCCGGGGGAAAATGCCCGCCCGAGTGCGACCAACACTCGGGAGAGCGGGCAAGGGTGCGGCGGTGGCGGGCGTGGATCCACTACCACGGGCGGCGGGACCGCTCTGTAAATCACGAGGGGTGGGGGGGGGTGGCTCCATTCCCCACCTGACAGGTACGAGCGATCGAGAGGAGCGAGCGACTTATCTTCGCAGCGAGTCAGTCAACCGTGCGGCCCTCTCCGGCGTTCGTTGTGGTCGCGGCAGAACAACGCGCCGCGGTTTTTTTTCTGCCGCTCATTTTCTTGTTAGTCGTCGTCATTGTTGCTATTCCCACCGCCTGTTAAGCGAGCGTCATCCTCGCTGCCCTTTTGACTTCTCCGCTGCGAGAGGGCGAGGATTATAAAATAGTATAAAAAGATCCCGTAATAAATTCCCACGCGGACGACCCAGCCCCCACCACTCACCCCCCCCCCGCCCCCGAACGAGCCCAGGGAGTGGGGGGGGAGGGATCAGAGCGCGTTGGGGGGGGCGGGGGAAATGAATTCGGGAGCAATTACAGTGCTCGTTATTGAATGCGCCGCTCGACAACAAGCTGCTTTTAAACCACGCTCCCGAGGACCGGCAAGGACCCTAAACAGCAATAAATTCCGCGGCATTAGCGTGACGAATAAAATTAAATACGGAGGAGCCGCCGCATAAACAGCGACGGGGCGCGTCTCCCGCGGGCGCGGCGGCTCCCCTCGCTGCCTGCACGCTCGCGCGACAAAGACAAAGGTCCCCCTGCGTAGCCCACACGGGCACCCGGTTTGGAGCAAGTGCTGCGCGCCGGCGAGCGGCAGCGCCCGCAGAGCGGCCTTCGTCTCCCACAGCGCCGGCTATTCGTTTCGGGCCAAGTCGACCTAGGAGGAGGGTGGGGCGGAGGGGGGAAGCCCAGGATGGATTCAGACGTCCGTCACGGATGCGGGGCCGTGAGCGCGAATCGCGGTTGGGGGGGGGGCTCTCTGGTAGCGGTCGCCGCCGCCGGGTGTTGGTGGCGCGGCGGTTAGCGCCGCGTCGCCACCACCGTTCGCCCGCGCGCGTTCGCTCTCGGAGTAATTAAGCTCGGCGAACCCAATTGACCCTCGCGTCAAGACGAGACGGCCGGGAGCTTCTGGCCGGCAGCCAGGGGAGGAGGAGCGGAAGTGCGGCACCACGGACCCTGGCCGCCGTACCCCCCCACCCCACCCACCGCTCGGACAAACGCGGAGAGGTCTGGTCGGGAACGGACGCGGTGGGACACATCCCGGCACGCTTACGGCGCGACGATGAACGCGGCGCTACCGGCTTCACCTGCCGCATCATCGCCCAGACGGCTCGCCGGGGCTGGTGGTACCTACTCCCACCCACCAACGCACCCACGCACGCACCACCCACCCACCCACCATGCCAAGCCGTGCCAAGCCAGCCACCTCCTCCCCACTTGCTAAAGCCGCTCAGGTAGCGGCGGTGGTTGTGAGGGTGCTGGCGGTTCTGGGCGGTTGTGGTGGTGGCGAGGATAGCAACGACGGAGTCCATGATGGTGGTGGTAGTGGTGGCGGTGTTGGTGGAATTGGTGGTGTTTGTGGTGGTGTTGGCGGTGGGGATGGCAGCGGCGGAGTTAATGGTTTAATGGTGGTAGTGGTGGTCGAGGTGGTGGAAGCAGTGGGAACGGCACTGCTGGGTGGTGGTGACGGGGGTGGGGTCGGTTGTGTTCGTTGCGGCTTGTGGTGGCAGTGGTTGTATGGGTGAGTGAGCCAAGTGAGCAAACACGGCGGCGGCCTAGGGGCAGCCCCTGCCACTCAGGACGCCGGCACGAACCTGCGGCTCTGGGCGGCGTGCCGAGATGGCCGGGCACAATCAGCCCCCCTCCGCCCCCCCCCGGGAGGCCGCGCTGCAATTACAGCGGCGCAGGACGGCACCTGAGCCTGCGCCAGGGCCGCCTGCCTGGCGGCTATTTGCATACTGTTCAAAAATAAGTTTATGCTACGCAATACGCACGATGTGTGTGTGTATATATACAGTGTATAAACAGTGCATAAACACACACACACATAAAGACTAAGATCCCCCGTATAACATTAACTGACTTTGGGGGAAAGTGCTGTTAGCGAGCAGCAGCACCTATGAAGGCCGGCACGGCGCACGATTGGGGTGGGCGGCCAGCACCACGCCCGGCCGCCTTTGTCTCCCAAGTGGCGATGTGGCGTAGTTTGCGAGAGGAGGCCGAGCTGCGTGGAACTGCGACTCAAAATGTACAAAATTGTTTTTAACCATCTCTAATGTGACGACTATTTTGCAAGACGTGCAATGCATCTCATCGCCATCAGCAGCAGCAGCACGAGCCACAATCAATCCACTGCTGGATGAGGGCCTCCCCAAGCCATCACCATCGCTCATGGGTCTGCGATGTAACGGCCAACTTGTTAACCTGTTCACCGATCGATCTCAGCGAGCTCCAATCAGCTGCTGCTGATGTAGATGCAGAGCAACGACTGCAATGTCACTATCAGGTGGTCAAGCCCAGACAACGGCGTCAGGAGCAAGCAGAGTGGTAGCGTATCATCATCATCATCGCTGCAATGTATTTGTGGATCGGGGCATTGCGTCGTTATACGTTGTACTACGGTCTGTTCTGGACCACCACAGTCGCACACCGGAGAGTTTCCATTTTCCATTCGTGCATCATCAGGTATCCGCATCTGCCACGTTTTGTGCAGCGGATGGGGTTTAGGGTGGACCACGAGCCGCTTCGTTCGTGGAAGATACAACCCAGGGGTCAGGTGGTGCGGGCAGTGCGACGCGCGCGACTGCCGATCGCGCTAGAGCTCGTCCTTCTGCGTTGTTACACATTCCGGGACGGAGGAGAAAGCTCATCGCGGGGAGGGGGTGGGGGGCGGGGCGGTGGTCGCCAAGCGTCGGCATCACGAGACCAAACTGTATAAGGAAATAATCGCCCACAATTACCGAATTACCAGGGCCCGCGGCTTGCCGGGAGTCCTTGCCAGCACCGACGGCGGGCGGCTGGCAGGAAGGGGGGGGGCAGAACGAGGAGGTCCCTCCCGGACGGCACTTCCACTGGGGGCGATACTTGGCACGGGCCGCGACGCTTAACATGATGACATATTTAAGGGCCAGCTTGTAATGAGCCTAATGACTGCCAAACACCCTCACCGTGCTGGAGACGATCCATCGGCAAAGTGAGAACAACTTGACTCGTGCTGCGCCAACACTTTGGCCGCGCGCCACGCCACCACTTTACGGGGCACGTGCCACCGACGAGCAACGGCTAAATAAGGAACGCGGCGGCGGTGGCGGCGCCGGCCAGCCAAGAAAGCTCTCGCGGTCCGGTGCACGGGATTACGTGCCGGGATTCTCAACGCTCCGTCCGCATCGCTAAGGCTCGCCGGCGTGCTCGGTAGCAGTGGGGGGGGGGAGAGGGTGTGTGTTTGAGCGAGGCTACGATTACAGCGGCCACGTGTCAAAGAACGCAATTGCCCCGTCAATGTCCTCCGTTGCAGCCCGATGAGATTCGTCGATCCATCCGACTGGGTGTAAGATAGGGACCAGCCGTGGTTTATCACACCGCGCCACATCACGGGAGATAGTGGTGGTGGTGGTGTTGGTGGCGAAGACAGCGGCGTCTTGAGGAGGGCCCTTCTTCATCCAGCGGTGGCTGGATTGACGGCGGCTCACGACGACTACGACGGCGACCACGCAGGAACCGTCACGCTGCGGGACACGCAGACGAGGAAACATCCACGGGGTGCGGCGCTCCGATTCCAACCGCAATCCGCGCACGTTAACCGGCGCAGCACGACGACTCAACCGGATCGGCGGGATGTCACGTGGGACACCGTTGTCTCTCACAGGTGTCGGCGATCGAGGAATCGGACGAGAGAGAGCTTCACGCACCAACGGTGCCGTCTTGGGCGGTGCGGTTTTTCTTCTGTTTGCCGGTGCCACCCCCGACCTCCTCCCGACCTCCACTCGACGTGCTTCAAAGCTCTCGGGAGGCTCCTCCGCGGCTCAAGGCTTTGACGGAGCACCATACGCGCTGCGGTTCACAGCGAGTCGAACCTCACGCCGGTTCCAGATGGACAGACTCGCGTCGCCAGCTCGTTGGAACACACACTGTCTGGAAGTTGTGGAGGACGGTGCGGATGTGACGATGCGGCCCACTCTCGTCATCGGATGTGCCGCCGCTGCTGCTGCTGCTGGCCATCGTGAGATGAGCCGAGTTTAATTTGCGTGCGTTTGCGTGATCCGTTTACCTTTCTTGTACTTTTCACGTCCATCGTGTTTTTTGTTTGCCGTTGTAACGTTCTTAGCAGACCCGACTCGACGTCTGGGAAAAAACATCTTCACAGCTCATCGGATTCCTCTTGCAGTATCAATACAATATTCTGATTCCGATGTCCGTCTCCACCTCTTGTTGTGACCGAGAAATATTTGTGTTTTGAAAAAAATCGGCCCCGTGGGCCACAAGGGCCGCAAGGAGTCGCCGGGCCGCTCTCTCGCCGTGCACCGCCAACGGGCACATTCCGGTCGACACCGGAGGGCCTCGCACCGTGTCAATGTCCCGCCTACAAAAGTCGCCGGGGGACGTTTTGCGTTCGGCACCGATTGACTCTCTCACTTGAGATTCACGAGGCTGCTACCGCTGCTACAACCAAATTAAATCACCGGGATGTTTGTGATCCGCTTCATGGCAAAAACAACACTCATTTAGGCTCCAGGAACCAACCCAACCAACGGAACAACAGAAACCAGCGAGAGAGAGAGAGAGGCGGCAGGAAAATGTGGAGTCATCATCTTCGGTGGCTTGGCTCTCGGGACACCGTGGCGTCCGCGTGAAGAGAGATTTTACACGGAGCGCACGCCAAGCGACGAGCACGTCAACGCTTCGAGCCGCCGATTACAACCTCGTAACAAGCGAAGGTGGCACCTGTCAATTACCGCCTGGCGCGCACGCGCAAACACCGATGTACCTGACAATTACCGCCCGGCACGTCAGTCCACGGGCAAAGCTACGATAATTGCTCGCCGTCTACAAACGCGCCGCTCGCCGACACACGGAGGTTTTGCCTCTGCCACATCGCACGTTGTTGTTGTTTACTAGCCCCGTCCGTCCCTCCGCTCCCCAGTGGCCGAAATCAACAGGCGAGTATCGTTGGAAACTGGTTAAACGTGTGCCCGGTGACAGCGGCAGGGCGGGACGAGGCGCGGTGTTGCCGGCGTGTTTGCTGGGATGCGTTGCGGCGCGTGACAGGCTACAGACGGCCTAAACGCTGTCCTGACCCCCCCCCCTGGGGAGAAGCCGGAGTGTGCAGGGGCAGCAGGGAGGCAAGGAGGAAGGGCGACAAGGAGGCAGGGCGGCAGGGAGGAAGGGCGACAAGGAGGCAGGGCGGCAGGGAGGAAGGGCGGCCTGCCCAGCCAACATGTCTCACATTAACCCTGCGAGCGTCAGAACTGCAGGTCGCACCGCACATTCAGTGGAGAGGAGGAATTCTCTCGGGGGAGTGAACTGGCTTCAACGCGAGCCGCTGGGCCCAACGTGCCGCAGGTAAACGCGACTCCACGCACGGCGTCTCAGAGCGCCGAGATTCACCCTCCACCCCACCCACGGAAGGACCCCGCTCACTTCCTTCAAACGCATCAATCCAAGGCCGGCATTAACCAGAATCAAATTAGCTCAACTGCAAACCGCGCCGATGATTCGCGCCGTCGGGATGATGTCGTTAGGGGGGGGGGGGGAGGGGGGGGAGGGGGGGGTGGAGTACGAACGACTCCAACCGTGGACCACATTTTCGCGACGCGAGAGCTTCGTTCTTTCCGGCAACGAAATCGTAACGAGCGCGGCGGCTGCTACGGGTTTCTTCCGCGGGAAAGCGGCTGCGTCGCAGGGCGTCGCGGCGGTGGCAGCCACAGCAACGGCATTAAAAATGTAGCGGCTAATTCTCCCCCCCCCCCCACACACACGCCGGCGCTCTGCTCTTCATCACGTCCATGGTTCATATTTAACGTGACCTTAAAGCGAGACTACGTGAGCGCAGAGGATCTCTCCCCCCCCCCCTCCCCGTGGCGCTCGCCGCTTGCCTGCCCAGGAGGGGTGGAGGGGTTTATGGGGGGGGGGGGGGGGCACTGTGGGGGGGACTGGGGGGGGGGGTGCTGGAGCGAGCACAGCCATCCACGAGCAGCAGAGAGCGGTATGACCGGAGTGACGTAGGAGGAGGAATGTGAGCACGAGGGGCAGGAGGAATTGTGCGACGAGTCCAAGGAGTGAGATGGGCATGATGACCGATGGCGGAGATGGATCGCTGGGAAGGATCGCAGCGGTCGCAGAGTGGCACCTGCCTACGCAATGGCAAACCCGAGCGCGGAGGCCTTCATCCAGCAGCGGATAGAAAACGACGCGGTCGATCGTGACGGACGGTAAACGTACGAAGGAGGAGATGGAAAGCATTTTTCACTTTCGTCGCCTTGCGCAACTGGCAACAGAACGCCGGGAGGGGGGGTGATGGGTGGGAGGTGCTCGCTGCTAGTTACGTAACGGCCTGGAATATTCCTGCCAGGGTTGCACAATGCTGCTGCCAGACTTGCCAACTGCAATCTGCGTTCGAGTGCCGGGTAAGCCGCCACGGTGCGTGCCATTGTTTGATAAATACCGTCGGCGGAGAGAGCGAGAGAAAGAGAGAGAGGCGATTGCAGGGCTTTGCCTCGGCACGCACACGCGCACACACAAGCACACACACACGCACACACACGCACACACACGCACACACACGCACACGCACACACACACGCCGGCCCCACGGAGGTCGCACGAGTCGGACGACGGACCCAGCGACCCCCCCCCCTCCTCCCCCGTCACCCCCCCAATCCCCGCGCTCCGCCACGCGAGCGCGACCGGTGGTCAAGACGCTCCGAGTTGTTGCCGCTACTGCTGCTGCCCCTGCTGCTGCTGCTCCTGCTGCTGCTGCTCCTCGTACTACTGCTGCTGCTGCAGCTCCTGTTGCTCCTGCTACTGCTGCTGCACGTTTTTATCTTCTCTTCCCGCGAGCCTTTTGCCACGCACTCCTGCGGGCCGCCCTCGGCGCTTGAGTTGGGGATTCCCAACCAGAGGCGTTGCGTGGCCTTTTTGGGCCTTTTGGGCCGGCGATGCGCAACCGTGTTGAACAATAATAATAAAAACGTGAAAATTAAGCACGATTACTCTTATTGTTGATATTATTATTTACACAGCTGCTGGGCAGAGGGCCCACAATGGAAAGCGCCCCACCTTGAATTGAGCGAAGTCGTTATTGTTGTTATCATCATCAGAGCTTGCGGACGAGAGATGATGGGAGGAGGGAATTCCCAAGTGCAGCAGTGCGAGGGAAGAAGCAGAAAGTGGAGTGACCTTCGGCGTGGCAAGTGAATGGGTGAGCGAATGAACGCACGAGTGGGTGAGCGGGTGAACGGATGCGTGGGTGAGCGGATGATTGAGTGGGTTGAGGGACCGAGTGAATTAGTGTTGTTGTTGTGACCGGCAGTGTGGTGGCGGTGGTTGAACAGAGTGTGGTGCATGAGACGGAACGACCATCCTCGGAGGTAGCAGGCCGCGTCCTCAACGCGGGTGGCCGAGTTGTCGAGGAGACGTCACGGGAACGGCAGCAGCGCTCATTACAGCGCCGGCCACGCTACCACCTCGCTCATCTCGTCAGGGAGCATAAACCACCGTCACGCAAACAACTCCGGTCATCCTCGCTGCTGCGGCCACACAAGCAGCAGCGGGGGGGGGGGGGGGGGCTCTTGAATCGGCCGTCGAACAAAGACGGCGGTCGCCGCATCGCACGGCGCTTTCAGTTGCGCTGCTTCTGCGGCCGTCTGGAACGCTCTTCCTTCCGATGTTAGGAAGCCACGGGGAGCACTTTTAAATTAATTACATAGACTGAAAACTCGTTTCTTTATAACTGCTTTGCGCGAGTTTGCCGTCTTTCACCCGCGCCTCCGATCGGCACGGTTGGCTACATACGGCCTGAAAGTTCAACGTACGGCACGTACACGATAAAGGAGGCGCACCGACCGCCGGCGAGCGAGTGATCGGCACGCATTCGCGCGCCGTCCCGAGCGTTACGATCGTGCGACGGGAGCGCGGACACGAGACCCGGCGTGAGCCAAGAGCCGAGCCGTCAAGACAGCGAAGCGCCCGCGAGAGAGAGATACACTCGCAGGGGGGGATCCACGCCACATCTCCTCCGGAGATCCCTACCACATCCTATTACACGTTTTATATTAAAATGACCCTAATCCTTCTCTCTAATGCCGGGCTAAGGAGCTGGGGCTAAGGCTGGCGCGGGCGGGGGGGGGGGGGGAAATACAATAGAGCGCGAGAAGCGGTCACGATAATGGAGCTCTCCCCGAGTGAGTGGCGGTCGCTGTAATAGATCTCTTTGCGAGCGATCGGAGATGGTTTAAGAAGCAATTAATTAGTCGGCGGCGTGGATTCACACGTCCACCCTGCGCCTTGGCACAGCTCCCTCTGCCTGTGTCACCACCGGGTGTAGCAGCCCTCTCTCTCTCTCTGTGTGTGTGTCACCACCGTGTGTAGCAGCCCCCTCTCTCTGTGTGTGTGTGTCACCACCGTGTGTAGCAGCCCCCTCTCTCTCTGTGTGTGTGTGTCACCACCGTGTGTAGCAGCCCTCTCTCTCTCTCTGTGTGTCACTTTGTGTAGCAGCCCTCTCTCTCTCTCTCTGTGTGTGTCACTGTGTGTAGCAGCCCCCTCTCTCTGTGTGTGTGTGTCACCACCGTGTGTAGCAGCGCTCTCTCTCTCTGTGTGTCACCACCGTGTGTAACAACGCTCTCTCTCTGTGTGTGTGTCACCACCGTGTGTAGCAGCGCTCTCTCTGTGTGTGTGTCACCACCGTGTGTAACAGCGCTCTGTGTGTGTCACCGCCGTGTGTAGAAGCGCTCTCTTCCCGCGTCGCTGCCAGCAGCCGCCGTCTCTCCCAGACGGCCCCAGCTGAGTGCCGCTGCAGACAAATGGATTCCTCGGGCCTCGAGATTGCATTTTTTTTTTCAAAGTGAATTCACATCATCTCCTCCCGGCGATGCCGGGGAGATAAATAAATAAACATATCACGGCGAGACGGGGAAACTCAACAGGTTTGCAACTGAGCACGTGCAGTATCTCTCCCCCTCCAGCTCCCGCCACCCTCCCGCCCCCGTCAGCGACTTAAGATAGAAATCTCAGAGCGCCTTTTTCTGCTCTCCCCTTCAAATTAGAGTTGGGGAGAGGCGTCGCCCGCCGCCCCCTGTTTAACAGCCAGCACCTGGGGGCGATATGGTGGAGATTCCACCGGCCTATGACGGGGACGGGTATGTCCACAGAACAACAACCGTTTATAAATGGCGTACACACCCACAATGCATTGCATCCGTGTCTGCGAGTCTATGGGTCTTCGTGCGATTCTACGGGTTGCTGCGCGGGCCTGCGGGTCTTCTTCCACGCAAGTCCATGGGTCTTCACGCAAGTCTGTAATAACCGATCGTTTCTCTGCTAAAACTACACCCCTGCCGTGGGGCCACGTTTCACCGCTCGCTACCTCCAAATCGTATCGGGCAGAATCCCAACAGAAGCCACCCCCCTCCGGGGAGATGCGCGGCCAAAAATACCAGAACCCTCCGGCGCCCAGCGGGGAAAGAGGCCCGGTCGGCGGGGCCCGACGAGTGGAGCGCATTCAAGCGCCCGCGGCGCGATGCAAAGATATTTTGGCGCCGCGTGCTCGTGGGGGTGGTCAGAGCGCGGGCGCAACGCGTCGCATGGCTCGCTCGCTCACCTCGCAAGTTCAAATCCAAAAGTGGGGGGGGGGGGGTCGAGTCGGCCTCTCCGTCCATCACGGGGCTCGATAAAGCGAGAAACGCTTTGCAGTTCTTTTTTTATTTAAAATTATTTTTTCACCTACGTAAACTGCTTTTGCGTGGGGCAGCCTTCGACCGCCATAGGAATGTGGAATTTCCACCACTGGCTCAGTCCAGCGACGGGGAGATCAGCACGCGCGTCTGCATATTCGCCCGTCCGAGTGAGAAACTCATTTCCGCCACTTAACGCGTTTTACTTACGCATGAACGTGCACCGCCACCTACATTCTCTCGCTCTCCCCCCTCCTCGTACCACCGACACAACCTGAAATTATACAGCGGCTAAATGCGACCGCGCTGCGCACGAGAAGCAGCGTGCACGCTAATTAAATTGAGGGAGAGAGAGAGAGGGCAAGAAAGGAAGGGGGTGGTCTTGAACCTGGACTGCGGAAGAGGGAGGAAACACCAGTCGGCACATGCCGATCTCGCTTCGTCAAAGTGTACAAACTCAACTCTTGCTTTATTGTACCAGGCCAGGGCCCACTGAGCTACGACGCAGCTATCACAAACGACCTGGCGACCACAAATTATAGCTCAATAAAGCGGCTTATCTCCGAGCCTCCCGATCAACACGGTTGCCTACGTATGGTGCAAAAACATTGTTCGACGTGCATGCGTACATCCATGTGGAAACTTATAGCGCGTTGATTCTAAATGTGGGGGGGGGGGGGGGGGCAACCGGAGGACCTCGGAGAAAAATCCACGCAGACAGCGGGTGCCAGGGTCAGGATCGAACCCAACACCTCCCGTATACCAGCCGAGGTCGTTAAAATCTCTCCACCGCCTACCTGCCTCGCTGGTGCACCGTGCGTGCACGCTTGTACAAAGCAGCATTGCATTCCTGCTGCTCAAATAACCAGATCGACGGCAAGGGGCAGGAGCTGCAGGGAGTTGTTTGTTTTGTTTGTGGAGCCCTTTGTCAATCCACTGTCCGGACGAAGGCCGCCCACCACGCAAGCCGTTTGACCATACTTCACTTTGCTGGTCAGTGCGAGTTGCCGAAGGAGGGAGGGTGCCCAGAATCGGTGAACATATCAATATCACCCCCCCACCGCCATCCCACCCACAGGCCGCCCCTTTGTCTGCCCTGTTGTTGACGTTTGCACACCGCACCGGGTAGCTTTGTAAAGCAGAGTTGACCTCGGGCAGCCACAGAACCGGTTCGGACATTCACCACCGACGATTGCCGCGGCCAGGACTCGAACTCAGGCGTCCGGATTCACGGGGCGGCGCGCCACGCCGCTGCCCTGCCGCCACACCGCCACCGCCCCGCCAAGACAGTAGTGACAATGATGACGACGACGTCGTCAACTCGTAACGCGACGTTCGCTCGTCGCTCTCGGAGACAGGGGCCGGCGCTTCCCGACGATTGCCCGAGCTATGCGGTCCTCCGCATGCGAAGACGTTTTCAGCTGAATAACGAGCGTTTAGACGTGCGGGAGATAAGTAGAGCGATCGGGCGGGAGAAACCCCCACGAGGTGCGAGAGGGGGCAACGCTCTATCCCAGACAGATGCAAACCCATGGGAGTCCACGTTTTGCAGAACCGCATTCTCCTGGCGAGCGAGGGTACGGCTCCACCTCGACACCCACCGGGAGGGAGTTTCACAACATCTGTGTGCGGTGATCCACCAACCCTCGCTGCCGCTGCCTCCGCAGCGCTGGACTACTGAAGGCAGCCACGTGCAGCAGCAGCAGCGTAGCCACAACCGCCCGGCAACACAAAGCTACCCAAGTGTCTAACTACAGAGAGGACCTGCGCATCAACAACAACAAACTAAACAACAAAAATTAAATAAGCAACACACAGCAGCGGCTCGAACACGGCGATGGCACGGCGCATGCGCGCCGCCAAATGTTCCTTTTCGGTCGGAGTTTTTGGCAAAAACACACGACGCCTCCATCGTCGCCAGCCAGATGATTCGCGGCTTGACGCCCCATCGAGACACGAATCTGGCTCCCCACCGCCGCTTCTCTACGCAGCCGATCGGCAGGCCCCGTTTACGGCGGCGAACCGGGAAGGCGGCGTCCGCCAAACTCTCTACGCTCCCCGACGCCGAGGGGGGGGGGGGGGGGGGGAGTCTCAGAGAGGCTGGAATTGGCAGCGGCAGAGGCGTTTGATGGCGCAGCGGGCGGGGGGGGGGGCGGCATAGAGAACGGGGCCCTGAGGCCAGGCAGCTGTTTCTCGCGGAACGAACGAACGCGAGCGCGCAGGCCCTATCATGTGGTCACGGAAGGTTGGGGGGGGGGGGTGTGGGGGTAAGGGCGGTGGGGGGGTTGAGGTTCTGTTTGCGACAAGTACACAACGTAAAGTGCTATAATCCCACGACTGCTCTACTCGAGCCCTGCAGTCAAACGGTGCCTCATTACTCGGGAGACAAAAGCGTCGCCGTCTTACGGCGAGAGACGGCCGCCACCCCCCCTCTCATCGGCGTCACGGGGGGCAAGGGGGGGGCGCGAGAGGGGGGCAAAACGCGACGGCTTCCTGGACGCGTGCCGAGATCGCTGAAGGCGAAAAACGTCCGGGAAACAGGCCCCCCGACCCTGCCGCGGATGCCGACACCGCCGAATGACAACCGCCCCGTCCACCGTGACGCCCCCCTCCACCACGATTGGCGTTTTCGCTTTGCTCTCGGTCATCCTGCAGGACAGCCTCGCCACCGACCGAGCCATTGTCACTCTTTCCCAGCAGGGTCCCTGCCAAGTGTTGGTTGTTCGCGAGGGGGTGATGGTTCGCGATGCATCACCCCCAACGGATTGATTTGCGGTGTCAATTTTTCAAACTCGGACCACGACACCGGCACACAGCTGTGCCCGAATCTTGCGAATGATGTCACGGGGATCTTGGACATCACAACTGTGTCGCGGACGACGACGCGTAGCATTTTTCCGGCAAAGATGCCTTGCTGCCAAATGTTTCCATTTTGTCCGATGACTACATCAGGGAAGAGCGGTGCCACAGAGGTTATCGCACTGCAATACGAGCCCAGCGAGTTCGAAGTATGCCCAAACAACCCCCATGACCAACATGGCACAGCAGTGGACATCAGCCGGCCGGGAGACCCGGTGATCATCGCTGCCTTGGCATAAAGGGTAAAGGCGAAGCCCTACAAGTGTCTGCTCACACCACCGCTGGCGGTAGGAGCCTCCACTAGAGGGAGCACGAGACAGCCCCTCCCGACTGCCGAGTATAGAGTCAGGAAATTAACAAAAGCAGGGAAGATGTTAGACTCGGCAATGTATTTCGCAAGCGTAAAATCCATAGCATGCCAATATCATCACCACCACCATTATCATCACGACGAATACATTTAACGGCAGAACCGTTACTACTTTTGTTTACTATACTACACTATTTTTATCTTACCACATACGGTTCAGAGCTATATAACTCTTTTTAGATTTGGCCACAAATGATAGTTCAATGATAGCTCAATGGAGTAGCCTATCATGTGGAAATGTAAAACAGCCAAATACTCGGAAAGCATGTCGATTCTAAATGCGGACGGAAAAACCGGAGGACCCAGAGCAAAATTCACGCGACCACAGGGAGAACACGCAACCTCCAAATAGAGCAGGCGTCAAGGTCGGCATCGAACCCGCGACCTCCTGTATACAAGGCGGGTTCGTTAACATCTCACCACCGTGGCGCCCCTGTTGATGCGACGGCGATGGGAATTGTTCCCCGCGTGTCGCAGTTTCCTCGCTTCCCTCGCAGAAGTTTTGCATCGCATCGGGGGGGAGGGGGTAGGGGGGGCTCTCGCGTGGCCGATTGTAAAAAAAAAAAGAAATCTAATTAGGTAACATCGGCTCATCCCTGGGGGGGGAGAGGGCAGACCGACATCTCCGTGAATGAACGGCGCCACCTCCCAGGCTCCATCTGCAGCGTGCCCGACGCCACATTCTATAAACGAGGCACGCGACCGCATCTCGCACTCACGCGCACGATGGGACGAGCCGCCGCCCGGCGCTGGAGGTGCAGGGAAATCGATACGCAAAATCACTTTGTCACATTTTATTGCGTTCCGCAGTGCCTATGCTGGGTAAGAGGTCGCTGAGAATTCCACCGCCGTGACCTGGGACGGAAGACGAAGTCTCGCTGCGGGACGACGCCGGATGGAACAGAGCGGGAGTCGGGGGGGGGCGGGGGCGGAGACGCTAATCCGTAATTTAAAATCCGAATGCCCAATCCCAGATTCCGGAGCGGAGGGACGCGGATAAACATCGTCAGCCACGGTCAACGCCGCTGTTAGATAGATGGAGGCCCTCCCCAAGCCGCTACCACCACCACGTCTCACAATCGAGCAAATAAAAAAACCACCCCCCCAGGTGTCGCACGCAAACCGATTTCACCGCTCCACCTCCTCCGCTCGCGTCATCTCGGGGCGGGTCGGTCCCTGTCATAGGAACGTGGAATTGTCATCACTGGAGATGAGCAAAGGTCGCGGTGAGCACGGGGGATCAGTGCGGGGGGCGGGGGGGGGGGGTG